CATATTTAGGAAGCGGGGCTAGTTCTAAGTTCCATCGTACGTAGCGTTTAGAGAGCTTTTACTTATAAGTAAAGTATTCTAGGTTCTTATAGTCTATAACTACTTCAAATTCTTATACGCCTCATAGTTTAGCGTTCTACTCTTTTAAGCAGTAGATTACCGCTAGTAGCTCTTTGTCGTAGATTAGGTAGTTCGCTTTATAAACTAGTAGCTTTCAGGAGAAGTAAGCTATTATACGTAGGGTACCTTCGTCGTCTTCTTATAGAAGTACAGCACTTATTGCTTATCTAGATAAGTTACACTCTACTACTGTCCGCCTGTCTAGGTCGAAGGCAGCTAACACTTCATTAGAAAGGAAAGCTTCCTTAAGGGCGGTAAAGCTTAGCTCTTGGTCTCGGCCCTATTTGAATTTAGCGTCTTTTCTTATTAACCGTACGAGAGGTTCTACTAGTCTTAAGAAGTTAGGGATAAATCTGCGGTAGAAATTAGCGAACTTAAGAAACTCTCTTACGTCTCGTATAGTAGCTAGAGCTTCCTATTCTTAAATAGCTCTTATCTTCTCCGTGTCTATTAAGACGCTCTTCCCTACTTTAAGAATAAATCCTAAGTATTTCGTACGTTAGACGTTAAACTTATACTTCTTAAGTTTAAGCTGTAGTCCCGCAGCTTACAGACGCTCAATTACTTACTATACGTAGTCGTAATATTAGGATATTAAGCTATCCGTATAGATTAGAATATCGTCTAAGTAGGCGGAAGCGAAATCGTCTAGAAACTCGCGCAGCGTCTAGTTAATATAGCGCTAGAATGTGCTAGAAGCGTTAGTAAGCTTAAAAGAAGTAACTAGCCACTTATACGACCCAAACCAGGTGCGGAAAGCAGTTATCTATTCTTAGCCCTTAGTAATCCGAATTTTATAAAAGGCGGCTATAATATTAAGCTTTGTATACTACTTTACTTATCCGACTTAATTTAGCGTCTCCTATATAAGAGGCAGTAGATAACAGTTCTTACGAGTTAGCGCATTTAGGGCGCGGTAGTCTACGTAGAATCTTAGTCCTCCCTTAGGTTTCCATACGAAGAGGACTAGTAACGCGGCGGGAGAGTTACTTACGCGGATGAACCCTTTCTTAAGTAACTTATATAGTATCTTGCGTAGTACTAGTAGTTCATCTCTAGATATATTATAGAAAGGTCCGTACAGGACTTCTAGCAGCTTCCCGTCATCCTTAGGAATTAGTTCGATCTTATAGTTAACGTCTGGGCCTCGTAGAGGTGGGAGCTCGTCTCCTTTCTTTAGGGTAAATAGGGAGGCGTATAGTTATAAGTATAAAGAAAGCGACTTAGTTACTTCTGCTATAGTTAGCTATATCTTTAGGCAGAGAGCTTTTTTAATATTCTAAAGACTAGTAGCAAAGACTTACAGAGCTGGCTGTTTTTAGCTTCGTCGTACGTAGGCCTAAAAGATAGCTACTGAGATTGCGGCGAAGTTCTATAGTAGTTTAGTTCTCTCTATGCTAGGTATAGAGAGATCGTAACGTAGAAAAAGAAGTATTCGTCTAGCTGCATTAATAACACCTCCTATATCTTTAAGCTAAGTTTTCCCTAAGATGATGTCGTACTCGTACGTAGACGTGGTGATAAAAGCGGCTGCTTTTCGCTTAATCCCTCTAACGTCTATAGTAAATTGAGTAATAGCTCCTACGGTACTCTTCTAGTTATTAATACCTTTAATCTCTCTAGTAGAGATAGATACGCGCGGTAGGTTAAGTTCTTATATAAGTCTTTTATATACTATCGCATAAGTGCAGTACCTATTATTAATTATAGTAGTAGCGTTTTTTAAAAGATTAATGATTACGTCTATAGATATTAGCTAAGTAGGCTTTAGTTAGTGAAGTAGCTCTTAGACAGGTCGTACAACCTACTTAACCTGCTTTAGCTACCCTAGTTAGCGTTTTTAGACTAGGGCTCCTCTTTTCCCTCGTCCGAGCTCTTATCTTCTAAGGTAGCAGCTAGAACTTTTATTATAGTCTCTGGCTTGCGCGTGCGTTTTAGGACTGCTGCTTTACACTATTATATAAGGTGGCTGTAAATACTATAGCGTAGGCAGCTACCCTCCTCCTTGCGTTAAGTAATTTAGTTTTATGTACCCTAGTACTCGTTCCTTATACAGGGACGTATAGCGCCTACATTAGGCGTTTAGTCCATTTCGTCTACGGCAGCTAAAGTAGACGTAGGAAGAGAGGTTGAGTAAGAGAGCGCGTTAGACGAGAGTTAGTTAATTACTTTAAGATTCTCCTAAGTATTCCTAAGTCGATAAACAAAGGCGTCGTACGTCTCGTTTAAAGGAGGCTAGTACCTAGCTTAGTAGCGTAGTAGCTTCCTATTAAGAGAATTCTTAAGATAGTTAATTTTTAGCGCGTCGTTATCTTGTCCGAAACTAGCTTCGTTAAACTTTAGATTAAAAGCTCGTACGTAGAAAAGAAACTCGCCTTTTTCTTACTTAGTCGTACAGAGATACTATAGAGCTTTTTACTTAATTAAAGGGTCTTTAAAGAACGCGTTTAGTTGCTCCTAAAGCTTACTTAAGCTAGGTAATAGATTTCTGCTCGTAAAGTCTTATACGTAAGCCTATAATGCTAAAAAGGCTAGTTCTCCTATATAGGAGATTATATAGTGAGCTTAGTAGAACTCTATAAGGTAAGCTAGGTAATCTGCTGATAGTTTCGTATAGATTTATATCTTCTACTGCGTGTATTCTTCGTGTAAGCCTTTCTTAAAGATTCTAATATTAGAGAGTCTAGCTTTTCTAAACTCTTATACGGGCGTAGGCGTAGCTAGAGGCTAGCTAGAAGGTTACTAACTTTCTATACTTAGCGTGAGATTAGGAGTCTGTACGTTAGGGGTAGCTTGCCCCTATACCGTATAGAGAAAAAGGGCTTTCATCTCTTAGAGTTCTTCTCGTACGCCTTTAGTATCCTTAAGTCTTATAGCTATTTAGTCTAGGTTTTATTAGAGTAGATTATTCATTATATTAAGTTAGCTCTAGCTTTCTGCGAGCTCCTCGTACGTCAGAGGCCTTAGCGGGGCGTTACTAAGTTCTAGGTTTGGTATAGGCTTATATAGCCCTATCGTTATATCTTATTCATTTTATATTCTTAATTCTCTCTCGCTCCATACGAGAGAAAAGAGTAAGAAGAGTTAAAGTAATCTTTTAGCTTATGTTATAGGCGGAGAGGCCTAGCAAATAAGTATGCTTCTACCTATCGTACAGAAGCTAAAAGATAAGAAAAAGAGAAGATAACTAAGTACAGACTTCTCTTATACCTGCTCGCTTCTGATCACGTGTCCGTACAGAAGGTATATCACGTGGTCGAAGATCACGTGATCCTCTTCAGTAGAGATCACGGGCGCAGCCCTTTACAATTACGTCTATAGATACGTAATCTACTACTAGATAGATTCTTCTAGAATCTAGTATAGCTAATATATATAGTAGTAGAATAGCTAGTAGATAGAAAGTAGAGCAGATTACAAGCATAAAGCAGACTACTAGTGCAGACAACTAGATAAGATCGGATCAATCTAATTCTTCAATCTCTCTCCCCTAGCATTTCTCTCTTTTCATCCTAGAACCTATCGATTCGCTACCTCTGAGTCTATCGCTAGACAAGTAGACGACTCTACCTCTAAGCTAGCTATAGAATAAGTAGCACCCTCCTTATTACAACAGGTTATGAGCCTGGATTACGCGTTTAATCGAAGGTTCTAGCAAAGTCTACTATAAAAGACTTAGCGTTTACGTAAGAACTAGTACTATTTAGGCTAGATTCTTAGCAAGACCTAGGGTAACAATAAGGGTTAAGAGAAAACCACGGCTAAAGAAGCTGAAAAACTCTAGATACTAGGTTCATCCGAAGCTAGATCAGCTGATTGCAATATATCGATCTATATCGATTAGTAGCTAGAGTTCTTCATAGAAAGAACAGTAACTGCGATAGCATCAGCATATATACGAGCTTATCAGCCGATCTAGAATAATAGATTAAAATGGCTGATAGTATCTTTAAAGTACTTGTAACGGCGCAGGCAAGACTACTCGGATCAGTATCGGCGGTAGTGTCACTCAGAGGCATATGGGAGTGCGTGGGACATCAAACGAGCCTTGATTCGAATAGACACCTATAGGCCTTGTACGAAAGGATATCAAAAATCTATCGAGCTACGGTATGGAGAAGGTGGGGTTTTATATCAGCAGATCTGCCCTCGGCTAGTGCGCGCCCATGTTCGGATCCCTTTCGGATATCAGTTCAATGTGTACTCGAACCGTTACAGTCTCTGAGCGTGGCTGGGTACCGCGGAGGCGCGTTCGTAGTATTGATTCCGGCACATTATACGCTGCTGCAAGGGCGCGGAGAGATTTTTTTAATTATTTTGATACGATAATACAGCAAGACAAAGTCTACCTTCACGAGCAGTCTGTACAGAACGTTGTTGTCGCGGCATTATGGTGGTTGTGTGGAGAGTCGCGTCAAGTTGGGTGGGGTGCGCAGCTTACTGGTGTGCGCAGCTTACTGGTGGGGTACGTTAGTTTAAGCATCTCCTTTACGGAGGTGCCTTTCAAAAGTATTGTCTGCCAAGAATAATCTATCCGAAGTACGGCCGCCTTAGCCGAGGCTTGTCTCTCCCCTCTATGTACTCATTACCACCTTGTAGCTCAATTATCTTTTGAATATGTACAAGAATTCGCTCAATCCAGGCTTGGATCTTGAGTTGCGAGAGATCTCTCCAGCAGTTCTGCCAGATTCTAACTGCCTCAGCCCTTGACTGTGGAGCTCCTTTCTTCGTAGTCTCTCTCTTTATATAGAACCAGCATGGCTTAATACAGTTACAGTCTGGCGAGTTACCACACCAGAGTAGTCTCTCGACATCGTGCAGGCGATAGATCACACTTTGATAGTGGTGGGCGTGGCTAGGTGCCTTATCCTCCATTACAACAGTCTGAGGTCTATCTTGGAGGCATTTTTTAGCGAAAGGAATCAGCTTTGGGATTAGAACGCAGGTCTGATATCTCCACCAGTCTATGCCACCTCCAGACGTGCGCACCAGCTTGCCTGTCTTCTCTGTCCATCTCCATTGAGGCTTTCTGCCACGCTTATTACGTAGCCCTGTCCTCCTTATGGACTCTGACAGCTCCCATTCCTCTCTCTGTAGAGGCTCAAGCTCAGCGTTCAGCTGCTTAATCTGACGAGCAGCATCCTCTTTCTCTGCCTTTGTCTCTAGCTGGTAGATATGGCATGGACCCTTCTTATCGTACGAGAAGCAGCCCCAGAACATGAACTCAGAGTATCCCTTCCACCTCTCACGGATATAGCTCTTAACTACTCTCTCATCTGCCTTTCTCTAGACTCTATAGCCCCTACGTCGGTGGTTAATTACTACGGACGTCTCGTCTGTCTAGATGACATTCTTCCAGTCCTCCAACGTCCAGTCCTTATGCTCTAATGCCCACTTAAGACGAGCACTCCTCATCTCCTGTGTCAACCCAGGCTTCCTCGTTGGCTTGGTCTTCCTGTATCCTGCTGCTCTTAATACCCTCTAGACGGTAGAGGCAGAGATCTCGACTCCTTGGAGACTGAGCCCACCAGCAAGGTCAGCACAGCTCTTCTCTCGTCCATATCTATCGTGTCGTACTTGTTGGAATATCTGCTCCTTCACCTCCTCTGCCTGCTTAGTAGGTCTACCAGTCTTTGGAGCATCCTGAACGTGGTGTGGAAGGATCTTAATAGGAAGTTCGTTTGGCTCAAAGCCTGCAGCAATAGCTCTACTATAGATACGATCGACAGTACGAGGATTAACACCAGTTAGCACAGCAACTTGTGACGTATTCTTGCCAATAGGAGGTGACTTTAGCGCGATTACTAAGGTACGGGTATATATATCAGTATAAGGAGCCATAGTAAGAAGATAACTACGTAGTGGCAGGTAGGCTGATCAAACAGCTCCTCAGCTCGAAGGTGGGAGTTGCGCCAAGAAGAGTTGCGCCGAATCGCCGAGATTAGCGTCAGACAATACTTTTGAAAGGCACCTCCGTATTGGTAGCGGTAAAAGCCTAGAAGTTGCTCTTCCTCTAGTTCCAGCTTTCCATTTGGCTGCCTATGCTCTCTCTGCTTGTGTCTTGCACTATCTTCTAAGCGTAGACTTGAGTGGATACAGTATAGAAAGACTCTCTGCTAGTAGGCCTCTACGGTCATCCGCCCTCTGTCCAGTTGATTCTTTAACCGCTTAGTCAGCCGCTTCGTTCCCTGGAATTCCTACGTGAGCTGGTACCCAGCGGACTGTTACCACTCTTCCTATATTCTGGAGCCGCTAGACCTGGCTTGCAATTTCCTAGAGAATGTAAACTCCCGATCTTCCTTCCGCCTTTGCTACCGACCAGATGGTGGCTTAGTTGTCTGTGTAGATGGCGATTTCTCTATGCTTGCCGCCCGCCTCGATGTATTGTTCTCCGGTTTGCAGTGCTAAACTAACCCCTTGTAGCTCAGCTGCATGCACTGTTGAGACCGTGTTTGGTCCCATGTACACGACGCGAGTCTGCTGGATCAGCGGGCACACTGCCGCTGCCCCTGTCACGCCATTTATGCCACTGCTATCTGTATAGGTGCTCAAACAACGCCCTGAGTTATTCTCTGTATCGTGCTGTTTGCGTGCTTTCTCTGCGGTAGTCTCTATATGCGTCGCAGGGCCCCTTCGCCATAGCGCAGTCATGAACGGTGGGATAGGTTCTTGCTCGTCAAAGCCTTGGCTTCGTCGGGTCTTCACGTCGTTGTAGATCTTCTGCCACGAGTCAATGTGCCCTATTTGTTTTCTTGTGCTTCTTGATAGCATCGTCCTTTTCTAGATCTGTCGTTATAACTATGATGCTTATCCAGTAAGCTCAAGATGTCAGGTGACTTGTTGCTTTGAGCTTACCCCTATTCGGCTAGCTCAGTTATTGAGATTATGTCAGCACTACTGATTGGTGCATCAGATACTGAGGTACCAGGCCGTGTGGCGACCACGCACAAATCAGTTCACCGACCAGCCCCTACCGCCAGTGAGCAGGCCCGGACGATTTTATTGAATACCTAGATGTATACAGTAACGATAGATGTTTTATGACGGATAGAAATAATCTTTGTGGTCTTGTAAATCATGGGTCGTATTATTATGATAAAGCAGGCATCTTCGCATATCCAGAAAGAAGGTGTCTACACGATTGTAATTTTTACATTAATGGGCATGCATCGACTCAGAATCAACTTTGGTATATACCTAGATAGGCCAATATAGTCTTCGCGATGATTGCAAGCTATGCTGTTGCTATAAAGTCAAAGTACCTGTAATTTTGTCCGTTACGACGGTTGTTCCGTTACGAAGGGATGTACGTTACTGTATTTTCTTTTCTTTTTTGAGTTACGTGTACAGCGGTACCAGTGTCGTGAAATATACCGAAGTAACTATGACTAAAGCTCAAAGTCTCAAATGTGGCAAGCAGTACTTTCAACAAGTCAAGACTGTAACGAACAAAGAAAGCTGTTTGATAAACAAAACTTTGCAAATGAACTATACATGTCGACAGATGCTTCGTAACCAAAAGCCATCAAAAACCTCCCACTAATCATTGAACCCCTTCATGTTCAAACTCTCCATCTAACTTACAAGCTCGACCAAACACTAACAATGCCCGCAACCAATCCCCAAACCGTAGCAGCACCGCGACGCGACTCCGCGGCACCACCATTAAACTGCGGCATACCAGCGCCAGTCCCAAAGTTATGTTCCCAGCCCTTGGTAAGCGCAACAGGGCCCTGTACGCTCTGTGAAGTACCCAGGATAGTAATATTCTGAATAACAAGCTCAGTCTCGAATCCGAAATCGCCGCTCATGCTGAACGCGCCGTTGTTGAAGGAGAAGTTAATGAGCGAAGTAGACTTCTGCTCGAGGGAATCTCCATCATCGAGGTAGAGGGAGCCAGAGGCTTGGTTGGTAGCGTTTGGTGCGATCCAGAGGACAAAATTTTGCTTGCGGAGCTCGGTGGTTGTGTTTGCGGATTCAGCGCGCAGAGGGAGGATGGATCCGCCTTTGATGTGGAGAGGGATGGTGTCAAAGCCTACGTCGGTGAGGTTGATGTTTTCGCCGTTTCCTTGGATGCGCTTGCCAGTCCAGTAGTCGTAGAAGACGTCCTTGGGGAGGTAGATCGAGACGGAGGTGGAATTTTCTTCAAGGACGGGCGAGACGAGGATGCTGTCGCCGTAGAAGAATTGGTGCTCGATACCGAAGGTTTTGGCGTCGGCGGGGTAATGGAAGAAGAGGGGGTTCAAGCTGGGTAGACCGGTGGTGGTCTGGCGGTGGAAGGCCGTGTAGAAGTAGTCCAAGAGCCTGTACCTGACTGCGATGGCGTTCTTGGCTGCAGCCCTGGTGAGAGGCCAGCGGTAGTATTCTTGGCTGATGGAAGTGTCACCGGCGTGGTTCCTCATGAATGGGTAGAAAGCACCGAGAGTGGTCCAGCGGGCGCAGAGAGTCTCGGTCGTGTTTCCGGCGAAACCGCAAATATCGGGACCGACCATGGGGATCTGGAAGATGGTGTTGAAGTTCAAAATGCCGGCAATCGAGAAGCGGTATTGAGCCCACTCGGAGACGTTGTCACCAAGCCACTTTCCGAGGTAGGAACCAAGACCAGGGAACTATTCAAAAATTAATATTCGGATTCCAGTGGGGAGAATGTATTAGACTCACAGACGACCTAGTGATAATGAATGGACGTCTTTCGGGACGACGAGCTTGCATAGACTTGTGAGAGGTGATACTCATCATCGAACCCCAGAAGTTGTGCGTATCGTAGTGGTAAGAACCATCGTAATTCTTGATATCCGTAGCCAGGGTCCTGTTGCTGATTGAACCGGCTTCGTTGTGGATCTGGTATTTAGGGTTGATCAGATCACGACCGGGAAGACCGAGGTGCTTAGCATCTCCAGCGCTGTTAGGCGCTTGACGCTTGGATGGACGCATGCTAGATGGTCCCTTCACAACAGAACGCCTTGCAATGCTAGAGTTAGACTGTGGCTGGAAACCTGCTGGGAAGCCAGGGATTTGGCGACCTGCAGAAGTGCGCACCGCCGGTGGCTCGGGTGGGTTCTTGGACTCCTCAGAATAGGCTATTCGATTATTAGTATGTCAATCTTATCAGTGGAAGACGAAACTTACCCTCAGGGTCTGAGCAGGGGTATGGGCAGAAGTTGGCGGGTTCGTTCATGTCATTCCAAAGTCCATCGATATCAACACCAGTAGCGGGGTCGAAGAAGCGAGCGAATTCCTCATCCCAGTATTTCTGGGTATTGGGATGAAACCAATCTGGGAAAACAGTAGGGCCTGGCCAGACAGCACCCTGTTCGAAGGAGCCGTTGCTCGTCTTCTGGAAGACTTCAAGCTTTGCACCGTTGTTGTAGGCATCATAGTCACCGCTCCAGACAGCAGAGTTGACCATCACAATGTAGTGCTGTTGGTGAGCATGTAAATAGTCTACAAGCTGGCGAACAAGCTCAAGCGGGTAACGCTCGGGATCCAGGGTGAACAGGCGGCGAAGCTCCATGTAGTCGATATCGGTCCACATGGTCTAGAAAAGTTAGCACAACAAGCCTGTTGTTTTCAGAATGTAGAATCTCACCTCAAGTGGAATATCAGCAGCAGAGTAGTTTGCCACAACCTCAGCAACCTCCCAAACATCACGGTATCCATACTTGCACTGATGTGAGCCGAAACCCCAGTAAGGCATCATAGCAGGCAAGCCAGAAAGTGCCGAGTATTGAGTTGCAACTTCCTTAGGGCCGGGTCCAGCAAGGAAGTAGAAATCAAGAACACCACCGAGAGTGTTGTACTCAAGGAACTGGCCGTCAGTATCATCAATCTTGATGTCCATACCCTCAGAGCTAGCCAAGAAAACACCGTGAGTACCATTCTCACCGCGGTGATCAAAGTAGATCGGGTGAGCTCCATAGAGGTTGGATCCTGGTGGCGTGCCGTAAGCATCTCGGTTCCAAAGCTAACCAAATCAGTACCACGTTCATGATAGCAGAGAGGCAGAGACTTACGGTTCGCGTATAATTGGTGGTGTTGAGATGGAAAGCATCCGTCGATTCACCAAGACCGTACAGGTTTGGCAAAGGTGGCAGAGCGGTCCTCAAGCGAAGATACTGCGTCTCGAAAACAAGAGAAGCTGCTGAAGTATCGAAGAGCGTCTCATTGGTGGCCCTACGTTTGATGGCAAAAGAAAACGGGCTATCGTTCCAAGTGAAAGTCAAAGCCGACTTTTCAGGGTCGGTGCCCTCGTCATCAGAAGGGCGAGGCCAGACCGATTCCTGGATCTGGAAGACCTGTTCAGCGGCATCGTAGATCTTCACATGAAGGCGATCCTCTGTCGGTGGGAATTAGTATATTGTCAATGGATCAAAATGGCTTTATAACGGACCAGTCTGATACTCGACCTCGAGCTTGAGATCAGTGAGATCTTCACCATAGGCATTGCAAGCAGTACCGGCAAGAGTGAGGTCCGCAGTAACCCGGGAACCGTCGTTCTGGACGTTACTGACTGCGTAGCCAGGGCAGTCGTCGAGAGGCGTGCTTTGACGTTGGACAAGGGAGCCTGCAAAGGCAGGGATTGCCGATCCGAGGGCGAGAAGCCCTTTGGTTATCATGGTGCCTGGTGGTATTGAGAAAGACAGAGACCGGAGTGGATGCTGATCAATGGAGGATGTCAGACGCCTCTTATAGTTGAGGCAGTGCCATGGTTTCTACTAGTCAAGGTACTACAGCAGCAATCCAAGCATTGTGATCTCGGTTAAAAAGCCTCGTATGTATGGCTACAGCCGCTCGAGATGCAACCAAGACGCGCTTCCCCGCAATACCGTCATGGTTAGGATGTTAGGATGGTGGGCTTGGCAACGATGCCATCGCCAAAGAAGCAGCATGCCGGTGTGGAAAGGCTGGGAGACGCGCGCTAGAGTAGCTTGTTTACCCGGGAAAAATACCATTTAGGGCTCGAATGTGTAATGATATGCACGAGGCTGTGGATTCCGGGGTAGGGACGGAGAGGATTAGATCGTCTAGGTCAATGTCAAGTGGCACGCGAAAAGTGGGCGTAGATGGAGCAATCCGGTTGGACGCATCTCGGCCCGCCTGCGCAGCGATTGGCTGTCTGTCGGACCGGGGCTGGTGTAGAGTGTCCGGTGCCGACATGCCTCGTTACAAAAACACGGCAAACGGGTCGGATGCAGTACGGAAGAAGCATCTGCAACTCTGAAGGAATTTCTTTATCACGAACTTATTTTTCCTTGAGCTCGGACAGATGGAGCATGTGATGGCAGCTGAGAGGTTACGTGCCTTGGCCTGATGTACTTACAGTATTACCTCAAGAGCTGAGTTGGACAAGGCGTGCGCGTCTCAATTCCAATACACAACAACATACCCAAATTGTTGTTTAGGATTCTGTTGTGCTGCATGTTGTCAGTATGTATGTACCCTGATCGAACACACACCCGAGGTTGCTATGCTTTTGACATAGTCTCTCAGGTTGGAGTAGTATATTTTGCTCCAATCTGAATTCACTTGGTTCATCTCTGTATAAAAAATACTGATTCTTGAATATCGTTTATTTGGGAAGGAAAAACTTCAAGTTCGATACGAGATGAGATGAAGACATACATAGTAGTGATGGTTTGCGGAGGACTCGCACGGTCCACATAGCTACGTACCAACAAACTAGCGCGCATCCTATCATGGGAAAAGTTCAAACGCGACCGAGCATCCAGCCTCAATATCACAAACACCAACAACACGTCAACATGCTCTGTGCAATCTCTGGAGAAGCTCCCCGCGAGCCTGTTGCCTCGCGCAAGTCGGGCAACGTCTTCGAGAAGCGTCTGATTGAAGCGCACATCGCAGAACACCACACCGACCCGGTTACGGGAGAAGACCTGGCGACTGAGGACCTCATCGAGCTCAAGTCGCCCAATGTCGTGACCCCACGCGCGCCCAACTTCACCTCAATACCTGCCATGCTCAGTGCCTTCCAAAACGAATGGGACGCCCTGGTACTAGAGACACATACGCTCAAGCAGCACCTGGCGCAAACGAGACAAGAGCTGAGTACCGCCCTGTACCAGAACGACGCCGCTACACGGGTAATTGCACGTATAACAAAAGAGCGAGATGAGGCGCGCGAGGCCCTGTCAAATGTCACCATCAGCGGGGGCGCCCAGGGTGATGCTATGCAAGTCGATAACCAGGGCCTGCCTCAGGATCTGATCGAGGTGGTTGACGACACACAGCAAGAGTAGGTACCTAGTACGCGACCTAGAAAACATATACTAACAGGACACAGATTGTTCGGTTCGCGCCGAAAACGAGCTGTACCAGCAGGCTGGGCTACTGGTGAAGTCATCACCAACTACGACCTGGTCAAGACAACAGAGGCTATATACCCAGGTAGCAGCAACATTGCCGTACAAGAAGACGGTCTGGTCTTGTTTGGTGGATCAGACGGGACAGCTGGCATCTATGCGCTGGCCGAGGGCAGGGTTACACAGACCTTCAACGCTGGTAGCGCCATCACAGCAGCAGCTTGGTGTGGAGGCCGCGCAGTTGTTGGAACATCGGCTGGTGTCGCCAAGATTTTCGAGCAGGGTAACGAGGTTGCTCAAGTGGGATCGCATGCTGGAGCTATTACGTCCATTTCTGTTCACCCCAGTGGAAAGATGCTCGCAACAGCGGGTGCGGACAAGCACTATGCTGTTCACGAGCTTACTTCGTTCAAGACCGTGTCTCAGGTTTACATCGAAGCGGAAATCACCTGTGTTGCCTTCCACGTTGATGGTATGCTCTTCTTTGTCGGCAGCTCCGATGGCAACATCCGCATTTACGACATTAAGACCGGTGTTGCTATGGCCCAATTAGAAACAGGTGCTCCTATTGTGGACCTCAAGTTTGCTGAAAACGGTACTTGGTTCGCTGTTGCCCAGCAAGGTTCTACCACCGTCTCTGTCTGGGATATCCGGAAGCAAACGGTCATTTACACACTCGAGTCTGGAAGCCTGGTCACGTGCTGTGAATGGGACTACAGCGGCATGTATCTGGCGATTGGTGGCACTGGTAGCGTGTCGGTGCAGCAGTTCACAAAGGCAACCAAGAGCTGGGCCGAACTTGTGAGGAAGGCACTACCAGTCAAGGACGTTGCATGGAGTGGAAAGGCTGAGAGTGTGGTGGCTCTGACACCAGAGGGTGGTTTGGCGGTATTGGCTGCCCCTTAAGCTAGGACGCAGTACTGATTGAACTTGTAATACTATAAGCTCACAAACAACTGGAGCGCTATTTTTTTGGAAAGACTTGTTGGTTTAGAGCGACAAGTGCAAAGGATGAAAAGCCGAGGAATTATGAGCAAATGGCAGAGGCCGTTGGGTTGGACTACTTCAGTAGGTTGTGAAAGAGAGTAGTTTGGCTTAGAATGGTTGAAGCATCAACGAAGACGGCCAGCTTCGGGGCGACCATGTTCCTGGTCGAAAAAAAAATTCAAGGCGCAAACTGGGTTGTAGCGATAATGCAGAATATGAGGTGTGCTTGCCTCAGCTTAGCAATCAAGAAGTCATTTCCGGCGTGTTGCTGATTACGAGTCCGAGTACTACTACGTCACGTTTCGCTCGAATGAATGCTGGTGGGCACAGGCAACATGAATTGAACGCTGCAATGGTGATTAATGTGGTAAGATGAATGGAAGGCTGTGGAATATGATTGAGGAATTGTCTTTGTTTTTTTTTGTCTAATCTCGATCCGGGGCGGTAGTGAGAGTGAGGGTGACGTTTGTTATGTCGGGTCGCTCCCGAAGCGCCATGCAATGGTTGCCACCAGGGACAACGAGTTTCGCCGACGTTAGCACACCAGCGCTACGACACGACGGCCCGCTCAACTCGACGCCGTCCGCTCTCTGCTGGCTGCTCTTCTCGCCAGGTACTCCGCACATTCACGACTCCCTACGCCACACCACACACCCACCGCCGGCATGGAAGGGGAAGAGCTGCCGTTTGGGTACACGCACAGACGAGAGAAGGTGAGTGCCGGCCCAACGGGCGAAGCTTGCGGCGGCCGAGCACAGCGACGCTAACAAAGACTCGGTCCAGCGCTCGCATGAACAAATGGACGACGACGACGATGAGGGCTCGGCCTCACCTGCGTGGAGATACAACCCCTTCCCGGACATCCACCCTCACCAAACTCAGCCGCGCTACCCCTCGGGCCTCCCGCTTATCGAACACCACCTCCCACGCCCCGCCTACTATGACCACGCTCAGGACGCCGCCCACAATAACTACGAGGACCCACACGCCCGCCGCCATCACCTCCAGCAACCCAGAAGAGCGCCTGCCTTTGAGTCTGCCTTGCGCGCAGCCCGACCTCCTATAGAACGCGCCTCATCATCCACCGCCACACAACCACGCCCTGCGGGACTCCACCTTCCCAGGATGGAAAACATGGCTTCTTCGGCTTCAGTGCGCTTCCCCGGAGACGGCTTCGACTACCGACGGCCAGCTGGATCATCGAGGGAACCTGATGTTGGATCTGTTGACCTAACAGGGGAAGAGGAGGATGTGGGCCCGGACTTGAGTAGGGTTGACCAAGAGGACGACAACGGTGACCACGATAACCACGATGACGACGACGACATTATCATCGACCTCACCGCCGACGACTCTGGGTACGGAGCTAGTCAGGATGGCAACAGCGGCCGGCAACGACACGATCACGTTGACCAGCAAGACCCGAACCGTGCTCGTGCAAATGGAGGACCCCGCTTACCGCGGGGCATGGATATCATAATTGACCTCGACAATGGTGAAGAAGAGTGGAGAATGGCTACACCAGCTCCTGAACCAAGTTCCCCTGATATTGAATTTATTTCTTCCCGGACAATCAATCCCAGACGCCTACCACCACCGAATCTTGCTGGCAACAACTCTGACGGGGACGAGGTCGAGTTTTTACGAGAAAATGCCCTGCCAGAAGCCGAAATTCGACGGCGCAGGACTCGGGAGCTCGACAATGTCTTGGATCTTTTCGGTACGCTCAACGGTCGCTTTACACATCTTCGGGCTCAAGTCGATCGTTTCAATGCCCAGATCAACCGCACCGCGGGCCGTTTCCATGAGCCTGTTGCTCCCCACCGGAATTCATCCCGAGGCCATACACATATCCGTTTGGGCTTCATTGCACCTGTCATGGACTTTGAGGGCACTGGCTTCAATTATGGGCAGGCAGCACGCGAAGCACCAGCACCTCCACCTACCTACGAGGCGCCACCTCAAGCACCTGAGGGCTTCACAAGGAGTCCGGAAGAGGAAGGTGCGCTCATCTGCCCAAATTGCGAGGAAGAGCTATGTGTGGGTAGCGATGAGATTAAAAGACAGGTGTGGATTGTCAAAGGCTGCGGTCATGTAAGTCCAGTTTTTACTTATGTTGGAGCTTGCAACTAACATAAACAGGTTTACTGTGGAGAATGCACCACGAATCGTGCTGCTAAACGTACTGCAAAGGGCAAAGAAAGGCCGGTTAGCACTAACCCGTTCAAGACCTGTGTCGTTGAAGGCTGCGACAAGAACGTATCAAACAAGAAAAGCATGATCCAGGTCTTCCTCTGATAGTCTGAGACTCTGAACTATGAGAACTGTACCTTTCCGCAGCGTCCTCGTTTATTTTCCTTTTTCAGGAGGTCTCAATTTTGGCTGAGTTATACTTGGGATGTTCAACGATACCCAGGCTTGCATTCCTAATCTCGATTTTCTTTGCATCCTACAAATCTATCTAGGCTTTTCTACTGCGGCGTTTCTGTCATTTGCTGCATTGCATACTTGGGCGTTAAGGGCTAGCATTTCTTCTATCAATGCCGTAGTCAGCTCGACGAGTCTAACTAGTTTTTTCTCTCTTTTTCAGATTCGAATGTCACGTGGAATGCATGAACTTGTATATCGTAATATTTTTGTGCTATTCATCACACCTGAAATAATTTGATGATAAATCACTCGGATACCGAAGTCAAGGGGATAGAGTTGTAAAAAACGTGCCATGATCTCATCACACATGACATCCCGGCATCGGCCACGCCAAGCGAGCAGGGGTTCGTCAGGAACGCAAGCCGAGGCCTTTCGTCGAAATGTTGTAGCTCAGAGTGTTAGGCACACGTAGACTCTTTGCAGCCAACCCCATTTTTTTAATACTACCAATTCCTTTCTCCTTTCTTCTTGAAGAGAAACTACTACAACAAGACCATAATGTCGTCCAAATCGACCACAAGACAGGCCGCTGCACCAAACGATCAAAGGCCTGCGAAACAATCGGGGGCGAAGAACGCCTATCTCCTGACTTACAATGCCGTATCTGCTGCGCTGTGGGCAGGCGTTCTTTACCATACCGCTACCATCGGAGGCAATGAGGTATTGAATGCACACAAGGCGGTTGCGTTCTTCGGCAATGGTGATTGGCCCACTGCGATACAGAGAGGACTATCGAGTGCAAAAGTGTACGACAACCTCGAATACTACACAAGGACTGTGCAGAGTCTGGCAGGACTAGAGGTGCTCCATAGTCTGGTTGGTATGTTTACAAACAGAGAAATTGGATACGAGTGCAAAAAGGCTAACGTGTAGATTAGGCATCGTCAGAGCACCTCTCTTGACTACACTTATGCAGGTTGCCTCACGCTTTCTGCTCGTCCATCTCATTGCCTCGCCCTACGCTTTCCCTTTCTCAACGCGCCATTCGCCGGCCTACACTACTATGCTGCTTGCCTGGTCCGTCACAGAAGTCATCCGTTACTCGTACTTTGTCTTCTCTCTAGCGGGGGCCGGAGTACCGAAGCTCTGGACATGGCTGAGATACAACACTTTCCTCGTGCTCTACCCGCTAGGCATCTCGTCCGAATGTTGGTTGGTGTACCAGGCCATCCCGCTCGCAAGCCAGAGGAATGAATTGTTTGGGTACGCGCTTTGGGCTATCCTGGCCATCTATGTGCCTGGCTCGTACATCCTGTTCTCTCATATGTTGGCGCAGAGGAGGAAGATTGCTAGGCAGAGCAGGAAGGCGTGAGAGACCTGTTTGGGAAGGGCTCGAGAAGGCTGAGTATCTTCGCCGATGCATGAAGTTCACTAGAGATAGGGAAAGGTCTCGAGACGGAATGTTGGAAATCACGTGTGTATATTGATATCTTACATATCACACAATAATATACGAATACCCTAACTCTACTCCTTTCCGCCTTCCTTGGGTCCTGTCTGCGCGTTCCTCTCTCCAACATCCAGCGCAACGAGGAAACGACTCACGCAGTTGTACGCCGCGATTGTGGCTGTTATCTCAACAACCTCGCGCTCACTGAATGATTTTTTGAGTTCCGCAAATACAGAATCAGGAACTTGGACATCCAGTGTCATGGCGTCTGTGTACGCTAATAGCGTGGAGAGAGAAGGACCCAGTACATCTACGAAGGGTGAACGAGGTGGAGATTTCAGGACTGCTTCCACTTGTTGTAGGGTGATGTCTGGGGCAATTAGTCTTGTGAACAGTGTGTGGTGATCTGAGGAAAACAATTACCTGATACAGATGAGAGAATAGGAGAATGCGATTCCCACTCATACCACGCTCGGTTTAGAACTGCGACGCGACAGATTGCCGTTTCACGGATTGAAGTGGGGAGACTGGTCTTTGTACGGATGGAGCCTAGGAATGAATTCCTAACACACAATCAGCACTCGAAGCCAAGTAAGAATAGTTGAACATTTTCTCTCTACTCACCATCCATCAGCCACTGGTGGAGAATGCAGCAACGTCCGATCCAACGCTATCAACCCCTTCTCACCCCGCCTCTCTCGCACCCGCTGCTCCACCGCTCTATCCTCTTCCGACGTGAAGTTTGGGGGGTCGGGCACGTACGGGAGACGCATGACGAAGATTATAACGACAAGAAGGTTTAGGCTGTGGAATCTAATTCTTTTCAGATGTCAAAAGCAAGAGGACACCCGTGACTCAGACACCCCATACGAACCGTTGCATCGACCCGAGGTCGGGTTAGTACGTATCGCCATCGGAACCGTTCCGAGGTGGAGATTCGTAACGTCAGTAGCGGCGAATCAAACCCTTCTTTCGCTTAATAAGTACGATTATTATCGATAAAGAAGGACTTTCTGTATCCCCAATATCTGCGTTTTCCTACCCTCTCAATCTCTTGGACTAACTGGACTGGTAATTTACGAATTACTTTTTTTGTTGTTGGAATAATGGCCCCGAATTCAAAACTAAACGCAAAGCGCAAGGCGCAAAGGGAAGCAACCAAAGCTCCTCCTAAACCACGGTCCGAACGGCGCTTGGGAGAAGAACCAGGGAAAAGCGAGGCGAAGGCACTGATCCCCATTGAACTCCAGCAGCTTTTATTGAATATATTCCGGAATTCGTTCGCGGAGCGGCTGAGTATTGATTTTGGGCCGCTCTTGCAGGAGGTCAAGGGACATTTGTTTAATCGGGATTTTGCGGCTGCGTTTGGCAAGGAGGAGTATCTCGAGATGTATGCTGCGCGGTGGAGTCCGAGTCGGGCGTTGGGGTATTTGGACTTGTTTTGGGATTTGAGACAAGAGCTGGGATTCGACTTGGAAGAAACCATACCTAATGCCGACGGATCTGATAGTGTTAAGAGTCGGAAAGTTGTGTGCTTGGGTGGTGGAGCTGGGGCGGAAATTGTTGCTCTGGGGGGATTACAGAAATTGCTTGCAGGCAAGATGGTGGAGCAAAAGGAGGGGGAAGATGAGAGGGCGGCGAATGTGGAAAAGATGGAGGTTACGGCTGTTGATATTGCAGACTGGAATGTGGTAGTGGAGAACCTGGCAAAACACCTTACGACTGCACCGATACTGTCAAAGTACGCATCAGCTGCTGCAAAGGCGGCAAATGTGTCCTTCCTGGACTCAGCGCAGATATCGATTACCTTCCACCAACAAGACGTTCTTCAAGCGTCTGCATCGGATATGACATCGCAGTTACGAGACGCAAACCTAATCACTCTGCTCTTTACCCTCAATGAACTCTACTCCACATCCCTCCCTCTCACTCAGAAATTCCTCCTCCAGCTCACTTCAATAATGGAGCCCGGATCCCTACTTCTAGTTGTCGACAGCCCCGGAAGTTACTCCTCGGTTACGCTGAACGGAGCAGAGAAAAAGTACCCTATGCAATGGCTTCTCGATCACACGCTCCTGGACCAAGCCAGTAGCAACAAGAACGAGAGAGGCAAAGATGAGATTGCGAGTTGGGAGAAAGTGAAAGAAGATGACAGCCGATGGTTTAGGTTGGATGATAGGCTGAGTTATCCGATTGAGCTTGAGAATATGCGGATGCAGATGCATCTGTATCGACGACTATAGTCAAGTATCGAACCTCTTTAGTATTTGACGCGCTGTAACGCACTCTATTAATACTGGAATATTCCCAATCCTACATCTGGGCAGTCATTTCGACACTCCACCAGCGTCAAGAACTAAGCGGAAAGCCGATAACAAAGGAGAAGGGCAGTTCCCGGGAGGACCAGCCCCTCTTGAACAGTAAAAACGCTACATTATCTCAGCATAAATTAACGCAAACTGCCCTCGCAGGCGGAAATAAGTCTTCTTTTAGGCGCTTCACACCCTTCGAACTCGAAAAAATCCTCATCTAAAGAAAAAACCCACCGCAACTCCCTCTACTTCTCTCCACCATGCACCTCAGTACAACTCCACGCCCTCTCCCTCTCCCTCCCGCCCCCATACACCTCCTCCGGCCTCCGTACTCTCTCGTCCGCCCGCTCCATCCGCACACTCGAGCGCGACAGCTCCTTCGTAACGAGAATACTTTTCAGACTGTGGTCTTCCTGCACGCTCCGCAGGCTGGCGCAGCTGCTCCCGGGGCTCTTGGGTGTTTCGCGCAGACGCGACTTTTCGTAGCGGCGCAGGCAAACGGCGATGAGGGGGACGGTCAGGATGAGGATGACGATGGCTATGACGATGCCGATAATGGCGCCGGGACTGAAGCCGTCGCTGCGGGAGGGTGTGTTTGAGGAGAGGGCTGGTGGGGCGTCGGGGATGTTGGAGGTATTTGGTGTGGGTGCCATGATGTGTGTATGTGTGATTTTGTTGGTTGTTGGTAGATTGATGAGTGTTGATTGCTTGATAGCAGGATACGCGGTGTGATGGTAATGATCAACGAGTCGTTGATATTCGTACAATTCGTGTAATTGAGTGATGTGACGTGATGTGATGTAAAGTTTTCCTCGGTAAAGACTGCGTTTACTTTTCTTTCTTCCCAGTTGCCAGCGAGAGTGAAAGTGAGAGAGTGAGGGAACGCCCTGGGTTTCAGAAGAGACAGTCGCGCACCAACGTGCAAATAGCGAAAGCAGCAGCAGCAGCAACAACAACAACAGCGCGAAATAATCCTGAGCTGCAAAGCAAGCAGATCAGAAAAGCTTAAAAGAAAGGCAAGATAAAGGGTACAACCAGGGAATTCAAATAGTGGGAACACGAGGGGGGGCAGCCCGTTTTCCCTTTAAAGAACAACAGCCCCCAAGAAACGCCCATGAACCGCATTCCAGAACTCCGCACATCACACACACACACCGCGACAACATGCGTTGAGTGGTGGCCTTGCCCCAAAACCCCAGCATAGCTACCTTTCAGCTCCCGTCCATACACAGCGTCCCACGCCGCTAGCGCCCCCAAACGCACATGTGCTGCCGCACGAGAATTGGTCGCTCGCCAAAGTTAGTGGCGTTTACAGGTGGCGAATCAGCGGGGTCCATGTACACTTTTGCGCGCAAGGCACTTTTGTGCAAGGGCTAAAGTATGCGCGCAAAAGGCGGCCAGCGAAGCAAAAAAAAATGGTTACCCGTGGGTGGTCACGCGCCACTTCATAGTAGCAAATGGGGCTCTTCTTTTTTCTGGCCGAGGGTAAAGGGTAAAGGAAAAGGGCCATTTCGGAAATGAGTATGCGATAGGACAGCGCAGAGGTGCATGGGAGGAAGTAAGGTTGAGCTAGGGTTACAATGGTGAGGCTTGTTAGCCAAGGAACCGGGTTTTATTGACTGTAGCTGGAGGTTTCGGGCGGGGACCTTTTTTTTTAACCCTCATTTTTTTTGCGTAGGAGCGACGGTTAGATATTTTTGGTATTCCGAAGTTAGGCATTTTTTTTCTTAAAAATTAGTGTTTAAGCTGTTTCTACTGGTTTCACTACTACGACGCATTGTTAGCTGAATGAATCTAAACTTTGTGTTGGGCATGGTTGGTCCTGGATGGTTTAACGGTACTAAAGATATCCGAAAAGGATATAGTTCGGGTCTGGTTTGGCTGGTGGTTTTGTTCGTTTGTGTAGTAGTTCCTGGGCTGGGGTAAATAATTGGATGAGAGCATAAACCGAGCTGAATCGGTAGTTATCTTGGATGTAGAGCGTAGCTGAGAGTAGGAGAAATCGCAAACCCCTTTGACGTTCTAGGGATTGATTTGCTCCAATCCATAATGTTCAGCAAACTTTCTACGTATGTGCCATGGACGAGAATAAGAAAATTGCACTTCACTGCTTTTTCGATAGTTTCTATCTCAAGTGTGTAGTCGAACAACCTATACGTAATCTCTTTCTTCTCTCTCCTCGCGCTAGCCTCGCAGGTATTAAGGTAGTATAGGCAAACAGAGAAGCATAGTCCAGCCTCTACTAAATTCCTTGAGCACGAAACGTTCAAGAGTGATTGGAATAGTTTTGGTGTGCGGGAACGACCGTACTTGCCAAGACACAGGTTCGCGAGGTTTGTCTCAAGGGTCCAGATGAGATCGAGATGAATTATGGATACGATGTCAAGAGCTTGTGGAGCAGTGGCCTGAGAAAATATTATTCGATAGGTACAAGGCATATCTAAAACTACCAGGGTCGTTCGCGACTGTTACTGGTTGCTCGTCGCCATGTACTTGAGCCAATCAGTGATTAAAGAACCACCCAAGAGCGGCAGAGAATCCATGCCCAGCGACTAGTGGCATTTCGACAATACATACCAACCGCATAGCTACAATTATATCTTACAGCACTAGGCAAACATTACATATATTCATTAGAGATATCTCCTACGATAGACACCTTCTCCTTTAGTATGCATAAAACACATTAACCCCATCCCTTCGTAATCGCTTGTTCGTAACTTGAAGCCATATCCTCAATGCCCAAGCAGACGCAATACATGCCGCCGAAAATGCCGCATTACTACTCATAGCAATGACATATTTGGGGCCGTCGCTCGCGGGATATAGATAGGGCGTGTAGATGAAACTTGCCATGGAAACAACATTGACAATCGACAATGAGACGGCTTTCTTTTCGGTAGTTTGTCCGAGTGTGCCGGACACCCAGCCTAGGATGACGGAATTGACAGAGTAGACACCTGTGCAATGTTATTAGTAAAAGATAATGGGAACAATCGCTATATGTGTTGAGTACGAACCTGATGCAAAGAGGAAGCACGACACGTAGCGTGCGGCGAGGTTGAGAGTAGTAGCGCTGATCGCGAAACCAACGACGGCAAGACCCATCATGACGGTGATGTGCCAAGTTCTGTCATTGTATTTTCCAGATGAGATACCCACGCAGATACCGACAGCGCCCGCAACGAGGGATGGTGGAGCCGTTAGAACTAGGGTAATCGTTCTGTTGAAACCTAGAGATTTGACAACCGTAGGGAAGAACTAGTCACCATCAGCTAACGGTGATCTCACGTAAAACCAATCAGCATAGACATACCTGGTTGAATGAAGTGGCGCTCAAGTGCATGTTTTGCATGAAAACAAGCAGATAGAGACGAGGATCGCGAAGTGCTTGCAAAAAACCCGCTCTTGATCCCTTACTCGGCTCAAGTCCAACGGTATCCCTCTGAATACGATCATGAGCCAATTGGCGTTGCTCAGGTGTAAGCCATTTCGTCGTCAATGGCTCATCAGGTAGCAAGAACATGCAAATAATAGATACGCCCACCGTGACTATTCCCTCGATGATGAACAGCCACTGCCATCTGTCACACGACCATTAGCATATACTCTAACACCCGTCTCCGCTGACAGTAAATTACTCACCCATGCATGCCATGTTTATCACTCAACGTCGCAAACACCGCCGCGGCAATAAGCCCTGCAAACGATACCGCAAAAATGTTCCCCGCATAAAGAATAGCCACTCTCGTCGCAATCTCCTTACGCGTATAAAACATGCTCAGGATATACAGCGCTCCCGGGTAGAAAGGTGCTTCTACGAAACCAAGGAAAAAACGGACAAGCACAAGTCCAGTGTAGTTCTTGACCAGCGCGGTGAGGGCAGCCACGCAGCCCCAGACTGTACAGCAAGTGGCCATGTAGAGCGAAGGCCGTACTTTGCGCGATGACATGAGCATGTTGCTGGGGATCTGGGCGAAGAGGTAGCCGACGTAGAGGATGGAGATGCACGTGTTGTATTGGGTGCCACGGAGACCTAAGTCTTTCTCTAGACCATCGAGGCGGGCATTTGCGATTGCGTTTTGGTCCAGCTTGTTTCTTTGAAACTGTTAGTTATGTGATATCGATGGGAAAGGTGAGGTAGAGGCAAAAGGGTTTCGTACAGAAAGTACATGACAAAGAGCGCTGGCATCACGCGCATGTCCAGTTTGCGCACAAGCGCAATCTCTGCTGGGTCGGTTTTTGCGACTGCGCCAGTATAATCTGCGCCTTCAGGTGTGTCCTTTTGCACAAGGTCTTTTTCCGATGTTTCGACATCGTCAATGTGAAGAGGTACGTCCTTCTCGGCGTCGTGATTGTAGTTGGTCCCAGCCATGATGGGCTGTTGTTGTTGAAAGAAAAAAAGTTGGTCACTAACCCATGGAATGAAACAAGAGTCAAACAAATCAAGGACTGAAACTTTTTTCTCCTCTATATATTCAGGCTGGACAAATGTTGTACAGAAAGTCCTGAGTCTAGCTCGATCGCGCACCTACCCCGGACTTTCCCCAGATCCCACGCACTTGGTGAAAAGCGGAGTAAACATGGGAAGCCGGGGAGGAAGCCGGCACTTCATGGGCCAGTCAAACTCGTTCTGAAGCGAGTTTCATTGACTCGTAGCTACTACTTGATTTTGTGGCGGAAAGAACTTGGCAACTTAGTCGAAGAGGCGGACAAAGACAAGTCCGGTGGATCAAGCACGTGACATGACTTGTACTGGTGGCAAGCCTTGGCGACCCACCAAGTTTCGATCCCCGCATTGTGGCATCAGGCTAGCTTCTCCAGGCACGTACTAACATACCTTCCCGTGGGGTTCGTACGCACTTTCTCAAGTCCGTCTCTTGTTCTGAGTGAGATGTGCGCTTGCGCATGGGTTCCAAACCTTGTAGAATGGTTAGAAATCCAATTAGGGTCAACATTTTGCATTGCTATGCAACATGCTTCAGAATGCATATAATGCAAGCTTGGATCCCGGGGTTTCCATAATCATCAAACTCACAACTCTACATCCTTACAAGCAAACCACTCTTCTCTAAATCTTCACAATGGGTTCAATGCCAGAGGTCAAGAAAGCTCCTCAGATTGACCTTGCGGGTCTCGTTCCAGCCCCAGTTACGCCGTTCAACAGGGATGGCTCGATCGACTATGCTGCTATCCAACGCCTAGGTTCATGGCTCGGCAGTATTCCTGGCGTCAAGGGACTAGTAGTCCTTGGACATGCCGGCGAGGGTACTTTCCTCACTCAAGAAGAGCAAATAGAAGTTATCAAGGCCTTTGTCAAGTCCGTCGATGACAAGATTCCCATCATTGCGGGAATCACAACCGAAGGCACAGAGGTAGCAGCCCTTGAGGCTCAACGAGCAAAGGCTGCAGGAGCCAAGGCTGGTCTCCTGTACCCCAGCCATGGCTGGCTGCGTTTCGGATACCAGCCCGGTGCTCCACAGGACAGATACAGGACGGTGTACGAGAAATCTGGACTTCCTCTCATCTTGTTCCAATATCCCGATAACACAAAGGCAACCTACAATCTAGACACTCTTCTCGAAATCGCCGCACAACCCGGTGTTATCGCTATGAAGAACGGTGTCCGCAACATGCGACGATGGGACGTTGAGATTCCCATTATCAAGAAGCAAAATCCCGATTTGACTATCCTTACATGCCACGACGAATACCTACTACACACATGCTTCGATGTTGACGGCATGCTTGTTGGATACGGAAACATTGCACCAGAGCCACTCCTAGAGATGATTGAAGCTGGAAAGGCGAGGGACTATCCCCGCGCAAGAGCTATCCACGACAGATTGCTTCCTGTGACTAGGAACGTCTACCACCGCGGCTCGCACATGGAGGGCACAGTAGCACTGAAGCACGGACTGGTGGCAAGAGGTATCCTGGAACATGCGACGGTCAGGAGTGGGCTGCTGCCACTTCAGGATGGGGCGGAGCAGGAGATTCATGCTGCCTTCAAGTCGGCCTCACTAGGCAAGGTATCGCCACCCAAAAGTAGTTAAATAGAAGTGTTGGTATAGATATATAGTTCATAATTTGACAGTTCTTCCAAAAGATTGATTTTTATCGAAAACCGCCATTGTGATATGCTATATTTCCTGGCGGACCGAAATCCCTGTCCCACCAATAGTTCATGTCTTCTCCATTGAATAGGTGCATGATTTGTTCATTTGGCAATGGATTATCTGAGTCCTGGTGTGCGATACCAAGGAAGTTACCTGGGTCTGTAAGATAGTCATATGTAGGGTTATTGGCAGCTAGAGCATCGCCAATATCACTATTCGGAAAGTTTAATGGCCCTAGGTTGCTCATTATCATTGTTGGATTCAATTCCGTGTGAGAATAATTGGCGTTTCTTGGAGCCGGTTGAGAGTTTGTCGTCATACCCATCGCCGGATGGCTTTGCGTTGGATGTGTTGGTACGTCCTGTCGTTCTGATAATACATCATTCCCTTGATGGGCTGTTTGGCGACTACCAAGCAATGAAGAAGTTTCGCCAGTTGGTCGGCTGTCGTTTACCGGGGCAGCTCCAGGTACAACAGTAGAGCTCCGAGTTGACGGCTTGCTCAATCGTGCTGTGAGATTTTGAATTGCGACTATACAAGCATCTGGCCATTTTGTGCCCCTCAATGCCAGGTGCTTCAGAATTTGTATGCTTCGATCAGAAAGTCGTATGGCAATGTCTCGAGTGACCTGGCCTTCTGAGGCAGCGGAAAGAATTACGAACGTGCTCATCCACACCGCCCATGTGAAAGAAGGCCAAAGCAATGGGGTTCGTTCGTAACCATGTTGGCCAGGGGAGCCATCAAATGCACCGAATCCCCGGAGAGCCTTATGCAGAGTGTTGACGATGGAGCGCGATGCGGATATGCATCTTTGTAATGCCACGTTATAAGCTGCATCCTTTTTGGAAATTGCCAGCACGGAGCGGTGAAGTGCTAGAATAGATTCAAAGCGAAGAACGATAAGAGTGACCTGGTGGGCCTTTGATATGTTCTGCACTTGCTCGTCGTTGGAGAGATATTCGTCGACCATATTCCACCATCTGGTGTGCTCTGCCTCCCTTTCTAGGGCCTCTTCCGTCTCGTTTGCGCTACCGTGTAGGAAAGTTCGGTGCCTTGTTTGCATAATGGATCCACGAATGTCAGCATGTTGAGCTAAGAAATCCAACAGGTCTAACCGGTCATCCCGTTCATCACCTGAATAATGATAAGTATTGATGACATTCTAGGCCACACCTCCATATACATACCGTCTCTATGCTCGCGATCATGGTGTCGTTCAGTATGTGGATAGCATACATTAGCCTCATCCGAACGTATACCAAGTGGAGTCCCTAGTCGGATACAGATATGTCGATCTATACATAGTACAGACCAAAAGAGTCGTTTTCTCAACTCAGCTTCTTTATCAGGCACTGATCGTTGTACCGGACAACGATGTAAACCCAATTGGAACGCCATCCGGACTGACAATCCTTCGAGGCGAGACGCAGCATTGTATCTGTGCATTGTGATTAAGAAAAGCTGGATGCTGGCCAGCGCTTGCAGTGACAGGACCGAAGTCTCTTCGGTTAAAATCAGCTGCGTACTCCGGATAGCATCGTTGATTGAATGAAACACAAGATTAGTCGGTACAGCCTTCCTCGTGGTATCAATTTGCCGCCGATCACATATCGATATCGACATGACTGAGCGAAGTATGATGTGCTGCAGCTCATTTGCTGCTGACAGCGTTGCAACACGTGTACCTCGTTGTACAATTTGGCGAAAGTAATCCAGTAGTGAAGGAGCGTGCAAGAAGGGAAATGCGGGATGCCAGTGATCGAAATACGCTTGGCTCCATTCGAGGAGATCTTCAAAGACGATGGGCGATGCAATAGTTTCAGGTGTTGGAGCAATTACTTCGCCTTGTCTCCACAGCCACCTCGATGCACTCTTGGACGCGCCCACGGGTAGCTGATCTTCTTCGCCCGGCGCGGCATCACTCTCTGGTGTATCAACAGGTCGAACTGACGAATGAACTCCGGCGGCGTTTTCGATGATAGACGGTGGTCCAGCGTTGTTCGCTGGGCTAGTCCTAAACGTACTGCGATTGTCGTCTTGTGGACTTGTTCCTTCTGCCCCAAACTCTCTCAATTGCTGGCCCATAGTCTGGAGAAATGCTCTGCGTTTCTTGGCACCACTTGCATCGGATGCCGCCGCAGTGTCTACAGCTTCACTGTGGGGCGCTCGCCGCTTGCTGGGAATCACGTGAACCTCAGTCATGACGCGTGAAACAGTGCTATCACGCTCATGGGGCTCGATAGAGAAGAAGATCCAGTCCAACGTGGGAAAAGCGTTGTCGTAATTGGGTTCGCTGAAGTTGATACAAGCGTGATGATGATGAGGAGCGGGAACAAGAATGAACCATGCAAAACTGGGGTTGAGGCTGTGACGCTACGTACGGAAGGGGCAGCCAAGGTTCAGGGCTGAAGCTAGACAAGGTTAAGCACGTAGTTGTACGAGCGGGGCCTGTCACGACCTAGAGTGCACATTCACGGTGCATAGTTAACGATTGTTTGCCGAGTATCTTGCGCAATATATTGCTACCTAAAAATTCGTAGAAACAAAATAACATAGAGGAAAAGAAAGTACTCTTCTTCTCAAAAGTATTTTCGCCATCTCGCGTCGGCCGCAGAATGCGACTGCAACGTTGATTGGCATGGAGGTGTAGGCGCCTCTGGTACATCGGGATATCCTTCGCCAGATATGTCTTCTAGTGGAGAGAAGCCTGTGGTGTTTTGGTCAAGATGTTCTAGATTCGTATCTGGTTCAGATAACCCAGTTCCATCAGCAACTGGTCGCCACGAAACTTGCATTCCTGGAGGTTGTCCCGGCAGAATGGTCGCTTGTTCAGCGCCTAATAGCACTTGCGTGCTCTCATCATGTATATTTCTGCTTGAATTTGCTGCCCAGGGACTGGTTGCAGCGGGACTCCTCTGGGTTGGGTGATCGCCACTGGTTTCTGCCGCCTTTGCGATACGTTCGCTTTTCTTCAACCACCAAGTGCGTCTCTGCTCCTCCGTAGTAAGAGGAAGGTTTCTCCATTCTTCAATTTTATGTGTTTTGGCTTGCTTCTGGCCATACTCTGATAACAACCGACGATCCCTCTCGGGAAGGCGCTGAGGTTCGATCGGTACACGCGACTCGTAAATGGCCGAAAGAAGTTCCAAAACGACAATCTCAGTCTCGAGGAGTCGCTGTTCGATGAAAGATATGTATCCAGATGGTATACCTCTATTTATGGGATTAGCAAGCACCTGGCAGACTTGGTGTCAGAGCACCTTTTATTGATTGGTGGGTATCGGCATAAAGTGTCTGAAGAGCTACATTGCGAGCATATCGGCAGCTCACGGTCACACTGAAGAGCGCTTTAGCTGGTGTTTGAAACTGTTAAAATGAAGCTGACCTTTGACTTTTTGTTGCGACAGGACTCGCAGGCGATCGGATGAAATGTACTACTACTTGTTTCATCCTAGACTGTAAGTATGAGAATACTGTGGGGAACAAGGATCTGCAGCAATTGGGGATTACGCACCATTGCAACAGCGATTCCACAGCATGCTGGCGAAAGCGCGATTCTATCTTCGTGCTCCGCCGGACTTGACTTTGTCCTAGCGCAGACGCTCCGCTTTTTGCCCAAGGCAGGCTTGCGCGGGGTAGCTACACTAATCTCGGAATGTTGCGAGAGAGAGACATCATAGCCGGTAGACATGACGCATTGCATGACACTAAATATCTGGATTTGATGCTAAAATCACATCGATTATGTAGACTCTTTTTAGCCTAAGACGAAACAGTAGCACGCTTAGCCTCTAAGTTATCTCTTATATCATCAAGTATTATAACAGTTATAAAGAGGTACTAGGCACCGCAGGCTTCCACCCCTACACCGGCCCAACACAACGCAGTCTGCGCATTTGATGATGCATCGCAAGCAGAACTATCCTTCCAGTAGGATTGGCTTGATGAAACAACACTGCGTAGATACTGTTGGTAAGACAGATCTTGACGCAAAAGTCCTCGGCGGTCACCACGTGCCATTTTCCGCATTCTAGAGTTTTTCCTTGAGCAACAGCTGCACTCTCTGGGGGCTGGATCCTACTTAGAGGATTAGAAGTTGAGTTTGGTACGGCAGGTGTGGTGGGGTTGACGAAGGTGCCGCCTTGAGAGGTTGGGCAGATAGATTCGCCATAAAATCCCGTCGCTCAACATTCATCTGGATCCCACCACGCACCAGGACCACCCGCTGTATAGTTGACAATTTGCTTAAGGAAATATATTTCCAATTCAAACCATAGTTTCAAAACGTGGTTTGGAGACATCCTTAACCACCCAAAGTACCGCTGTGGGCCAAATCGCGGGTTCTTTGGCACACAAGCAGCGGCGTCATAGTCTGCTGCTACACATTTAATTAAGCTAGGGATTGCCAATACTTCTTCGTCCGCTAATATAAAGATTCGCCATGGGTCCTTGTCTGTATTCATTGGCTGCCCCCCTGTGCCGTCATGGTAAAGCTGTCGTACTTCTTCCAGCGTCAGGCCATCCAAGGTAGAATCTGAGCGCGCATCTAATTTGAAGAGTTCTTCTGCTTTGCAAATTGTAGCAGGATCGTCTATCGGTGATTCGTGCCTTTTAAGTTGGTGCTTGACACCACTGGTGATATTCTGGAGTAGCTTTTCCCATTGTTGATCGGATCCAGGTCCATAGTACGTTCGATAGATAGTGAAACCCCAAGGCTGTAGGTACCTGTCAAGATCTGTATCATCAAAAGTTTGGCTCTGAGGAAACCTGTATAAGCTGTCGATAAACTTTTTAATCCTGGGTTCCATCGTGGTGTCGATATGTCGTAATGCAACAATGAAATGTGGGATATCTGAATGATGTGCAATTGAACGAGGACAGCTTAATGAGCAGTTTTATTTGTTTAGCTTGTGGACAACGCACAAATCCAAGAGTTTGGCGCTAAACTGGACATGGCATGTACACCGTCCTTAACCAACATCTTGGCTTCCTATACTACTGTATGTACTGTGCCACCTTGGCGACACGCCGCCACACAGAGCATGCGGTATGCACAGCGAAGAAGGACTTCACTCAGCGGGGCGTTTCCTTCGAACCGCATGCCCTAAAAGCCAAAGTTGGCCTTGACTTTGACCGACCTCTGCATGCAAAAACCTGCATACCGCTATTTGGCAAGGGCCTGCACGTACACCTAGGTTGTTTATACTCTTACATGATGCGAAGATTGAAAATAGGTTAGAAGGATGAAAACTAATAACGCTACCTCTAAACGAGTAAAGCATGGCGTATTGCGTGGTATACTGTCATGCTCATAGACTTAAAGTGAACCGTTTGCGATAGTGCCTCGTATATACAACACGAATCATCGTTGATGTATCTCACAATTTATTTACACACTCGTTATTATGAACAAATAAAGACCGCGTAACAACATCAGCCAAAAAGGCTCAGTCAATCACTTTCCCCTCTCATGTTCCTTTCTCTATTTCTCTCCTCTGCTTACTGGCGAGTTACAGCGATAGCTCCAGCAATTAGTCGCCATAAGCCTGATTCGCTCCTATAAGTAAACCGAGCGTACAACATATTTTCGGCCCACGATGCAGCAGTATCACGATTGCCCCGTTGGATCGTCTCACAACTCATCCAAGCTTACAAAATACATTCAAGTGTCACGAGGGAACATCGCTTCACAATACAAGAGTTGAAAACAGATCAAAGTATCAGAATACAGTAATTAGTTCCATATACTGGATATTCTAAGGTATTATTTTTAAGTATAGACCAAGTCTTAAGAATATAAATTGGCCGAACGTTCAAAAGCTTGCCTTTTTTTTGTTCGTGTGCTAAACAGTGAAATAGCTACTACAGCCGCGAGTATATACTAACGTTTTTTCGCCTGCCACGGACCAGACACACACACACTGTCACCTTTATTCCACGAGCCGAAATACAAGAGACTAGTCATGTTTTTTGTGTGGAACTTAAGCAACGCAGGTACACTTGGGGCGGTTGATGACCTGGCCGATCTGGAGGTTCTCGGGGATCTGGCCAGGGTTGGCAGCCTCAATCTGACCGATGGTGATGCCTGCACTCTTGGCAATGGCGCTGAAGGTGTCGCCAGAGACGATGGTGTACTTGTCGTTGGTGCACGAGCAGCCTTGGCAGACAGGGATGACAGTGTTGTTGCCGGGGAAGATGGCGTCGAAGCTAGCAAACCTGCCCTGGTTGGCGTTCTTGAGGGCGTCGAGCTTTAGGTCAAAGTTGTTGGCGATGAGAGTGAAAGTGTCCTTGGGGATGACCTGGTAGACGGGAGGGTTGACGGACAGACCCTTAACACAGTCCTGGGTGCCAATTGGCTGGAGAGTGTTGGGGAGGCAGCTGGTCTTGTCGACGGTTCCAGTGCAGTTGGCTGGGACAGTGATGACCTGGCCGGGGAAGATCTGGTCGGGGTTGGCGATTTTGTTGACTGCGACGATGTTGCAGGCACCGGAACCGAACTTGTCGGCAACGGCTGCCAGGGTGTCACCAGAGACGATGGTGTAGTTCTGGAGCGTAAGAGGCTTGCAAGAGACATCTGGGAATGGGCTCTCGCCTGTTGGCCGTTAGTGATATGTAATATACAAAAGATAGTTGTTTGCACTCACAATCCTTGTCCTGCTTGAAAGGCATGGCGGAGACGGAAGCGGCCAAGACGGCGACGGCAGCGAAAAGAGTGGACTTCATTTTGAGAAATGATAAATAGATCGTTCAGGTAGTACTAGGTAATGAGCGTGGGTATAAGAGAGTGTGGGTATTAAAGCTGAAAAGCAGACGATAGGCAGTTGTAGCTGTGAGGAATCAGTTAACGAGAGCAGGATATGAACAGCTATATACTCATACACCCCTTCCAGACTATGGCCAGCATCATGACATATTTTTAGTCTTGTCACTGGAAAACGTCGTGACTTCGGTGCTTATTGCGAGACGCTTCCACAGACTCGGTCTAATGTCACTTCCCTGTTAACTACATTGGTCGTCGCCACTAAGTATCTCGAAGTCATCTCTCACTCATTTCGTTTTAGCTCTTGATCAAAGCTTGTAGACCTGTCAGCTTACATATACATAGCTTCACAGGCTTGGTTTCGGGCAATATTACGCGGCAGACAGATCCGGCTGGGGTCGATCATTGACGTATGAATGCATTTTGGTAGAAAGAGTAATTGGGTCTCAAGTTGGTTACAAGTGTAAAGGACAGTATTAGACCTGATCACTAATAGAGGTGCATGCAGACTCAATTGCAGACTCCCACAAGGGAAAGTGGTGTAAGAAAACGCACGCGTTGTGGGTCATCTCAGCAGCCATGATCAACTGGCCATCTTACAGTTTGGAAGCATAGCATTGTCAAAGTGTTCTCAAAATATACAACACGGGTTGGAAATTGCTGCAATAATGTTCGGAGCTGAAATTTTAGAGGATATGACAGGGTGTGGGAAATTGCATGGACGTAAAAACTAAGTTAAGGTTTACAGTAAGCGGTTCAAACACGGGTCGGCTCATGTTGGTATCAATTGGAATAGACGTTCACTAGTTTCTTCCCAAGTGATAGAGCCATTCTGAGTTATTCCGGATTAGGTCCGAATTAACCGCCTTAACCAATTCCCCCCAGTAAGCTGAATGCCATTGTGAACCTTGTGAACTATTCCGACGACTTCCATACTTTCACAATACAAATCTTGGTCGCATTTGGAGCTCCCAAGAGTCTTGTTCCAGATCCGTGAGAGTCAACCGGCTCAACGCTCTTGTCTTTTCTTTTCTCACCGGCGACTTGATTTGCTCGAAAGTTACCAAGTCAGTTGCAATCATTTCATTCATTAGGATCTTCTGCAGTCTATGACTCGGCATCTAGTTATCTCCACAAATGACCGGGGTTCCCGGTTGTCACGGCTTCTTCTTGGCGACAGCTTCAAGTTGATTTGCAACGGTCGGCTCGCAGGGCGGAACCCGCATAGTGGTGAATCACGTACCGGCTTACTACATCTGTATCCAAGACTGTATCAAAGGCCCGTGAATGAAACCCAAGAAAAGTATTGAGTAAACTGATACTTCACCGTGATCAAAAAGGGGTTCTCCATGGTCCGCCTTCCCGTCTGCTGTGGGCTGACAGTTAAGTAAGCTGGGCCGATATCTGGGCTGGCGCTGATAGCCGGACGCTTAACTAGCAACTAGTAGCGAGACTAGGCCGTTGTTAGCGTGCCAAAGGTAGTGGGTTAGGGTTAGTGAATCAGCTGCAGCGCTAAAGCAGCCGACAGATACAGTGCTTGCTTGTACTTCGTGGATTGGATGATGGTAGTGTGGTTTCTCTGGGTTGGTTACTTCGCATTTTTTTCTTACAACTGCATCTCTCGGGAGCAATGTGACGTGCAAATACATAGGGCTGGAATTGTGGAGCAATACAAACAGCAAATGTTCTAGAGAACGCTATAGCGAGAAACGGGCCGTCAAATGGCATGGGAAGGTGATGCGAAATCGTTCGCGTGGAGTGATCGTCGCAAATACGGGACCTGTAGCTTGGCTGGAGTTATGTTCTCAAAATGCTCACGTAAAGGTTCTGGCTTACCTGTACAGATACTCCTGCATTCACCCAAAACACGCTTTTCGGTCTTTGTTCTTTGCCAAGGGCCAAGACGCAATGTCAGATGAAGGTCCAACATGCAATTTGCTGGTACAGAGCGATTAGCATACGCGCTCCAAGAGCAGTGATCGTCACCCATGGAATGAACCGTGGAATGAACCATGGAATGGGTATCAGATTGCTTACGGCCGCGATTCAGGAAAACCCCCCTACCTTAGGGCCGGTTGTGGCTGCCCAGCAGCGTACACTGAGGGCAGCATAAAGATGACAGATTCTTTTCACTTATTCCTTACACTTAAAGTAAAGCTTCACCCTGTCAGCGACATGCAGTGCATCAGAGCTTATATGCCGAATGTCGAAGTATGTGGTATGGGACCAGTTGCGTGGTTGTCATCTTTGTTAGTCACAAACAAATGTCAATATTCACCGGATGGCAGATCGATACGGTGAAATCCGAGTGCAACAGGACGGTTCCTGGATGGAGATCACGAGAAGAGTTGTGAATAATTCTTGTGTGGTGATGGGCGGCAATCTTGGTGCAACCTGGATCTACACAGTAGGGTTCTTCCAAGCCCGGAACCGCCAAGCATGACGTACGACAGCCTTATGACGATCGTATGTAGACTTCAAGGCGGGAGATATTACCGATGTTGTCTCGACATGGATTCCAGGTGCATAGTGTTGTGTACTTAGATACATACTACAATACCACAATAGACCCCAGGCCAGTACATATGCCTGGACTTCGTCAATGCCGTCATCAGCAACAGATTTGTTACCCCTGCATTGCCCTAGCCGTCCGTGTGTGCACATGCGCCTTGGAAATTACTCCGTGCCGTGTCGGTACTTGTGGGGTGCATGGACCACTTCTTCATTCAAAGTTGAAGCTGAGCTGACATCGTCTTACTCCGCGCCGAACCAGGCTGTCTTTCCTCAACGGCTTGTTGGCACCAAGAAGCTTCCACAGACCCCTCATCCACAGACATTCTTTCCGAATATCTTACGTGTTCGTAACGGCGGAAGTTAATAGGTTCCTGCAAAGTATATATGTACCGATCTTCAGATGAACTTGACAAAGACCGATGAACCAATACCGATAAACCCAATATCGAGTACAATACCTATGAATCATATTAAGCTTTCCTCAGTTTCTGAGAAGCCGTTACTAGTTGCATCGGTGTGGCTGCTGGCATGCTTGGAAAGGTAGAAAGGTACCATTGGACTTGATAGTTCAATGAAGCGGTAATAGGAAATTAATTGACTCGATCGTATTCTAAACGAGTCTTTTATCCTTTTCATGTTAGGGATGTCAATCTTATTTTCTTAATTCAAAATACATACGAGGTCATAGGAATAACAAAAATGATACTCGTTATGACTAAGTGAACGTCCGTTTACTGTATGCGAACCTACTGTCCAGACCCACTCCCGAACGCATGATCCCAGCCAATAACGTACAGTCAATATAACCACAGAAACGAGCGCCAACAGCTTCAACAGCAAAGTGAAGATCAAGTAAATATGGCCTCTCAGTCCCTGCTGAAATAGCAATGTCCAATCTCACCTTATTGTCGTTGTCCTCATCCAATCAAATACCACATGACAAAAAACGATAACTTGTTCTAAAACTACGCTTCTCAAGTATCTACACGACGAATCTAGAGACCAAAAGAATACCTAAAAAACCACTCTACAGCTCTAAGTTCAGCCCGCCGGTCCTTCCAATGTATTCCGTCGACTAGGCACCCTCGGGTCCCTCTTCCCCATCGTAACCTCAAGCGCCTGAATCAAGCCTCTCTCATCGTACCTAACGAACCCCTCGCCCTCATTCCTCCTTCCATACACGCGAATAGCCTCGATACCAATACTCCTAAGCTCATCCTTGTCAACAGCCGGCGTCCCCGGCCCCTGCAAATGAATAACATGCGTGACGTAATTCTTGTACTTTGCCTTGTCAAGTGGCTCAAACACGCCTTTTGATTCCTCGCCTGCCTTGGCGATGGCAGCTACAAAGTCCAACGCTGTGTACGGATTCGAACATGGCCCTGTTTCGCGATCAATAGTCGAGTTGAGAATCAGGATTTTGTAGCGGATAGAGGAGTTGCTGATAGCTTCGCCAACCCCTTTGAGGACGAGAGAAGGAATGATGGACGTGTAGAGTGAGCCAATGCTGTATACAATGGCCTGAGCGTCCGCTAATGAGTTGAGCACCATGGGGTTGGCAGAGAGACGGATTTCTTGGCCATATGGATTGATGTACCATAGCCGTTCGATCCTCGCGGGTAATTCTTCCTCGTCGGCTTTTGAAAAGGTGATGTACTGTTTCCGAAGGGAGGGGAGAGACCCGGGTAGGTTAGCGTCTTCGATCCGGTCATGATGCTCTGTTTCGTCAATTTCTGTAGGTGCGCCACCGAAAACTAGGGCTGTTGAGATGGAAGGGTGTGATATAGAATTTTGACCGGTGATTACTTCTCCGTTTGAGAGGCCAACGGAAATGTGATGCGTGAAGTTAGTGTTGATTGCGGGGAGAACAGATGTGTGGCTAGGCACTGAGCATATGCTAGAGAGTAGATAGATTGCGGATTCGAATGATCCTGTAAAGAGTCGAGCACTGAATGAAATTAGCACTATTGAAATATCACAGAGTAGCAAACGTTGAAAGAGCTATGTGTCTAGCATAACGACCGCTCCAGAGTCGAAGCGTGTGCTTAGATGTGCATCCTGCAACATCATTCAAATAAAAAAAGCAACTCACCCAGTCAGAAACAGATTTCCAATACTTGCGCCGGAAAAGTCGAAACTTGAGGAAGGCCGCCGTCGCTTTACGATCTCGAACGCGACAACATTCAACATTGACCGTACTAGTTCTTTCTTCGCGGTAGAAATATTGGTCCACAGTGCATGCTCGGCCTCTACGATCTGCAGCCACTCTTCCCGGGCTAAAGAGCGTTCCTTAGGCAGCCTATGGTTGAAGAACGTTTTGATAGCTGCCTTTTCGCTATCGTCGTCATCTGGATCATCTGGGATAAGACGGACGAGACGACCTGCACTTGATTAATATAAAAACAATGAATTTACGAGACAAGAGCTCAGCGTACTTCGTACATCGCCAATACCTTTTTTACGTCAGTATTTTTTTCTTAATGATTCAATGAGCGATGCATACCTGGACCTCCAAAGACACGGATCAGCTCCGACGAGCTTCCACCGTTA